AAAAAAAAAAAAAAAATCAAACGAAAAATTGATTCACTCGCATGCTTGTTGTTGAACGAAATTAAAAAGAATTCATTAAGAAATGCAATTGATTGAAGTTCGACTTTGTCAATAATACGGCTGAATTCACGGCGAAAACGTCTCGGTCAACGTCGCCGACAAATCATGTGTATTAATCAAACGGAACAACAAATGAATATCTGACGCGCGGACAGGGTGCGATCGCAATTCAAAAATATGAATCTATCAATGAACGTCCGATGTACGCGGCACTGACAACCCAATGGCCGGTTCCAGAACAGAGCCTGTACATTTTTTACCGGGGCGAAAAGCCCTACGCGCGTACGTATAACCGCTGTTCCCAAAACGATAACAGCCCGTTCGTCGCCCGTATAAAAAATTGTTTTCGAGATGCGGCAGTTTATTTAGCGGGTGTATTGTCACGCGTTGACACGGCCGCGGTTTTAATCCTTCGTGTGTGCTCTCTAGCCGCTGTTCCACCGATCATTTCGCAACCCGTTTCGGCCAGCTCGTTGACAAAGGTCTCGGTTGAAGGAACACAAGCGATCCACCGATCCACCGAATCCTCGAAAAACCTCCATTGCCCTCGCTCCTTTCATCGAGTATAATGCCGTCCACGCGTTCCCCCTCTCCCGGTGAAAATCGTTTTTTCTTTTTTTTCGAAATCGGTGATATATGACCCGCGTTTCGATTCTCCGTGCCCTTTTTGGAATCGAATCTCCCGCCAATTCGAAAATGTTTTCCCACGGATTTAATTCTGTCGTCTTTGAATTTTGACGGGGTTCTTACTCCTTCTTCCTTGGTTGGACGAAAAAGTGGAATTGCTGAGAATCTTTGTACAGTAGAACTTGGGAGTAATATTTAATTAAATATATTTAATAAAAAATTTTACGGATTTTACCTAATTTTACCGATCAAATTAAAAAAAAAAATGACCCGCAAGTTTTATTTTTTATTTTCTCAAACTTAATTTCTCAATTCGTATCGTAAGAATCATAATTGTATACATTATATAATCGTAACAACTATGATATAGTTTCTTTTTTTAATGTAATCAATAATAATAGATAATACTATAAAATCTGATGTACAATTTTCGTGAATAATATCAGTGAATATCACTATTAATTCATCAGATGAAGTTATTTCCAAATAATCAAAAACAACAAAAACTTACACCCGAGATGTATGTATATTTAACTGCCGTATTTCGTTAAAACAATACTCGAAAGAAATAATTCATTGACAAACTTCGTTTTCTACTTCAAACGTGCGTCTTTATTTAATGTTTTAGACACGAGTAGTTCATGCAACTTTATTATTTTAGCAACTTTATCGAAGTCATTGCGAATACATGCCCCCGACGATATTACGAATTTTTTATCGAAACGAAGCTGAAGGAGGTAATCGATTCGCCCAGTGGCCGTAGTGGTGCTCTCCCCCTCCCCTGAAATCACACGATCTATCGATTAGGCGTAATCTTGCCCAATTAACCCTTATCTGCAGCGTTAAACGTGAAAGCACATTTTGACGCGTTCTGTCCCCTTAATCGCGCAAAAATACCGCGATAGGTGGGCCGATAACGCGTGGCGAAGTCGCGGAGTATAACGCGCGCTTTTTTTTCCGCGTAGCAAAGCAGCTTTCAAATCGGCGCCGGCACGAAACGTGTCACCTTTTTTTGCTGTTGGTTTTCTGGAAATCGTATCTCACGACGCGCGTATCAGATCCTCCGCGTCTCATTATACGCGCGGTTGCATGGAGAATTCCTCGAATCCGGCGGTCTAGATTCGTTTGAATAATGAAAAGATTATTCAGAAGCGAC